CACCCTGAGGCATGCTGTGTGTTCTCCTGGGGAAGTTGCCCCTGGATCCCAGGACCCTGGCACTGGTGGGCTGAACAGGCTCTTGGGAGGGAAGGTGTGGATAGTTACCTGTACTCGCACACAGGCTTCTTGGTGGCTGCAGTAGCAGCCTTAGCATCTCATGCCCGTCTCTGGTGTCCGCTCTGATAGCCGTGGCTCATGCCTGTCTCTGAAGCTCGTTTAGGCGGTGCTCTGAATCCCCTCTCCTCGTGCACCCCGAAACAATGGTCTCTTGACTCTTAGGCAGGTCCAGACTTTTCTCGGACTCCCTCCTGGCTAGCCGTGGTGCACTAACCCCCTGCAGGCTGTGTTCACGCCGCCAATCCCAGTCCTCTCCCTGTGCTCCGACCGAAGCCTGAGTCTCAGCTTCCAGCCCCTCCCACCCCGGCGGGTGAGCAGACAAGCTTCTTGGGCTGGTGAGTGCTGGTTGGCACCGATCCTCTGTGCGGGAATCTCTCCACTTTGTCCTCTGCACCCCTGTTGCTGTGCTCTCCTCCCCGGTTCCAAAGCTTCCCCCACCACTCCCTCACCCCATCTCTGCCAGTGAGTGGGCTTCCTAGTGTGTCCAAACTTTTCCTCCTTCACAGCTCCTTCCCAGAGGTGCACGTCCCGTCCCTATTCTTTTGTCACTCTTTCTTCTTTTTTCTTTTGCCCTACCCAGTTATGTGGGGATTTTCTTACCTTTTGGGAAGCCAGTAGGTGTTCTGTAGGAGTTGTTCCACACGTAGAGGTATTTTTGTTGTATTTGTGGGGAGGAAGGTGATCTCTGCATCTTACTTCTCTGCCACCTTGAAAGTCCTCCTGTTGTATGTGACCTTTTTTATGTGTTGTTGGATTAGGTTTGCTAATATTTTGTTGACAGTTTTTACATCTATATTTATCAAAGGTGATGCCCTTTAATTTTCTTTTTTGGTAGTGTCTTTGGTTTTGTTATCAGGGTGATGGTGACCCTTCTTCAATCTTTTGAATGAGTTTGAGAAGGATTGGTATAAGTTCTTCTTTGTATGTGTGGTAGGATTCACGTTTGATGCCATCTGGTCCTGGACTTTTGTTTGTATGGAGCTAAAAAAAATTTTTTTTAAATTACTGATTCTATTTCACTTCTAGTGATCAACCTGTCCAAGTTATCTATTCTTGATTCAGTTTTTGGTGGCTGTATGTTTCCAGAAAGTTGTCCTTTTCTTCTAGGTTGTCAAATTTGTTGGCATATAATTGTTCATAGTTTTCTCTTATGGTTTTTTGTATTTCTGCGGTATCAGTTGTGATTTCTCCTTTTTCATTTCTTACTTCATTTATTTGGGTCTTCTCTCTTTTCTTGGTGAGCCTGGCCAGAGATTTGTCAATTTTGTTTACGCTTTCAATCAGCTCTTGGTTTTATTGACTTTTCTATTGTTTTGTTTTTTTAAATCTCTATTTCCTCTCTAATATTTATTATCTCTTTCCTTCTGCTGACTTTAGGTTTTGTTTGTTCTTCTTTTTCTAACTCTTTTAGGTGGTGGATTAGGTTGTTTGAGATTTTTCTTGTTTCATAAAGAAGTCCTGTATTGCTATGAACTTCTAATAACTTCTTTTGCTGCATCCCATAGATTTTGTATGGTTGTGTTTTCATTGTCATTTGTCTTAAGGAATTTGTATATTTCTTCTTTGATTCCCTCCTTGACCCGTTGTTTTTTTAGTAGCGTGTTGTTTAGTCTCTGTAATTGTTTTCTTGTTTCTTTTTCTGTGGTTGATTTCTAGTTTCATGCTGTTGTGGTCAGAAGAGTTGCTTGAAATACTTTGTATATTCTTAAATTTGTTGAGGTTTGTTTTGTGCCCTAGTATGTGGTCAGTCCTAGGGAATGTTCCACGTGCACTTGAAAAGAATGTGTATTTTGGGGTTTTTTTGGAGGTAATGTCCTGAAAATATCAATTAAATCTAACTCTTCTGTTGTATCATTTAGGATCTCTGTTGCCTTATTGATTTTCTGTCTCAAAGATCTATGTGTTGATGTGAGCGGGGTGTTAAATTCATCTATTATTATTGTATTCTTGTCAATTTCTCCCTTTAGGTCTGTTAGTGTTCATTTTATATATTTGGGTGCTCTTATATTGGATGCATATTTGTTGATGAGTGTAAAATCCTCTCTTTGTATTGATCTTTTTATCATTATATAGTGTTCTTCTTTATCTTTCTATAGCATTTGTTTTAAAGTCTATTTTGTCCAATATGAGTATTGCAAACCCTGCTTTCTTGTCATGTTTTCATCCCTTCACTTTCAATCTGCGTGTCCTTTGACCTAAATATGTCTCTTGTAGGCAGCTTATTGTAGGCTCTTGTGTGTATATATATATATATATATATATATATATATATATGTATATAAAATCCAATCTGCCATTCTGTATCTTTTGACTGGAGCATTTAGTCCATTGATAGATATATACTTATTGCCATTTTAAACTTTGTTTTCCCATTGATTTTGTATTTCTTCTTTGTCCCTTTTTCTTTTTCCTTTTGTGGTTTGATGATTTTCTTTTGTATTATGCTTACGTTCTTGTCTTTTTGATTTTTGTGAATCTACTGTATGTTTTTGATTTGTGGGTTGCTCTGTTTTTCAAGTATGTTAATCTCTTTCTATATCTACTTGCTTTAGATTGGTAGTCATATAGGTTCAAACACATTCTAGAAAAAACTGTACATTTTCTTACTCTCCTCCCCCACATCTTATGATTTTGATGTCCTCTTTTACATCTTCATCTTCATGATTTTGCTGTTCATTGTTACTATCATCACTTTCACAGAATTTTTTATTATTATTTTTAAAATCTGTGTACTGGCTTATTTAAATGATTTACTTTCCAATTGTGATTTTCTCTTTCCTATAACTTCTTACTTCTTTTCTATTTAGAGGAGACCTTTCAATAATTCCTTTAGGATAGGTTTAGTATTGCTGTATTCTTTTAGTTTTTGCTTGTCTGAGAAATTCTTTCTCTCTCTTTCTGTTAAATGATAATCTTGCTGTGTAGAGTATTCTAGGTTGAAGATTCTTCCCTTTCAGGACTTTGAATATACCTTACCACTCCCTTTTGACCTGCAGTGTTTCTTTGGAGAAATCAGCTTGTGGCCTTATGGGGTTCCCTTGTAATTAACTCTTTATTTTTCTCTTCCTTTAGAATCCTCACTTTAACTTTTGCCATTTTAATTATAATGTCTTAGTGTAGGTTTGGGTTTATCTTGTTTGGGATCCTCTGTTCTTCCTGTACCTGGATATCTGTTTCCTTCTTTAGGTTTGGGAAGTTTTCAGCCATAATTTCTTCAAATACATTTTCAATCCCCTTTTCTCTTTCTTCTCCTTCTGGGACCCTATTATGCATAGATTGGCATGCTTTGTATTATCCCATAGCTCTCTTATATTTCTTTCTTTTCTTTTTTTTTTTTTTAGTTTCCGTCTGCTGTTCTAATTGGATGATTTCCATTATTCTATCTTCCAGATCACTTATTCATTCTTCTGCATTATTCATCTGCTATGCATAGCATTTAGTCCAGCTTTTATCTCTGCAAATGAGTTTTCTCATTTTTCTTGGATCCTCCTTATAGTTTCTAGTTCCTTTGTATAGTTATCTGCATTTTTGTTGATAACTTTTAATTCCTTCAGTAATTTTATTATTATCTATTTTTTGAACTCTATGTCTATTAGAGTGAAGGAATCTGTTTCATTGTTTGTTCTTTCAGGGGAATTCTCTTGATATCTTAATTGGGAGTGGTTTTTCTGCTTCTTCACTTTACTTATATTTCTCTTCCTGTATGTGTTTAGGAGAAACAATTATCTACTGTGGTCTTGGAGGGCTATTTTTATATAGGAGTATCTCTGTGTAGCCTGCATGGTTTAATATTTTTTTGGTGAGAGGGTGGTTTTTAGTATGGATGCCTATTGCCTCTTTCCTCAGTGTATGCTGGCCAAAATCCTACCTGTGATCCTTCAAGTCTGACCACAGGCAATTGCAAAGCTTTTCCTGGCAGGTTCTACAGGGGAGGCTGCTGTGTCCACGCCAGCCTCAGTGCACAGTTGGTGTAATGAGGTCCCTGAAGGGAGTTGCAGTCAAGGACTCAGGCCTCTCTGATTCCTCCATCTCCATCCCACCATCCAAGCTCATTCATATATCTGTATTTATCTGTATTCCCAGCCCAGACACCTCCAGCTGGGGGGGGGGGCTCCTTTTTTGGGGACTTTAAACATTTTTTAGGCGCCCCCCCCCCAACTTTCTTCACTGGGGGGGGGGGGGGGCTTGACTAAAATGATCTTCTCCACTTCACACTCTGACTCTACTTTTCAACTCCTAGCACTTAGCCTCTTCCCTTCCCTCCCCTGAGGGGCAAAATGGAACAAAGAGGAACCAGCACCGTTCTTTTTCTTTGCCTCTTAGCTTTACTTATGCAGTAAGTTGTCTTAACTGACCACCTTGACAACTGGCAGCCTGACACAAACCAGGGGCTTCATGAGGTCTCTTCTTCAGAATTTCACATTTCCCTAGAAGTAACCATTTAGGAGACATCTGCACAGAAAACATGAATATCTTTAGATGGAGGTCTCTTACAGACCTGGTGAAAACCAGGGAGCCCCAAATGACCCTTCTCCTCAAGAGTTCAGGTAGACTCCTCACATGGCCAATAATCTGATTTTGGTTCTATTCAGCAATAGGGAAACTGTTGAACACACCCCATCAAATTCTGGCTTTCTTGGCCAAATCCTCCTGCCACCACGGTCACCCATGGCCTGGAGTGTTACTCAGACAATCAAACTACTATTATAGCAGAAACCTGGTCATCAGAATGGGTGCCAATCATAAGAGTAGGCTCAGCCCAAAGAACAGCCTTGCTTTGCCATCCTTAGGGACACTCACTGATGCATTTATGCACACATTGAGACTTATGTGAATTTATTTCACTCAACAGTGTTTACTGACCTGTTTTGTGTTTTCAGTATCTTGGAACAGAGGCCTTACTGCTCCAGTGTAACTGAGTTGGACAGGAAGAGGAGGGGAGAGAATTTACTTTTTCGTTGAGCAGCAAGCTTCAAGATCTATGACAAGTGGGGAGGAGACAAGATAGAGGAGTATAAGGACTTGAGTTCACCTCCTCTCACAAAAACACTAAAGTAACAACTAACTTCAGAACAACCATTGTAAAAAAAAAAAAGACTGGAACCTACCAAACAAAACATTCTACATCCAAAGACAAAGAAGAAGCCACAATGAGATGGTAAGAGGGGTGCTTTCGTGATATAATCAAATCCCATGTTCACTAGGTGGGTGACCCACAAGCTAGAAAGTAATTATATGGTGTAGGTTCTTCCACAGGAGTGAGAGTTCTGAGCCCCACATCAGGCTCCCTAGCCTGAGGGTCTGGCATTGGGAGGAGGAGCCCCCAGAGCATTTGGTTTTGAAGGCCAGTGGGGCTTGAGTGGAGAAGCTTCACAGGACTGAGGGAAACAAAGACTCCACTCTTGGAGGGTGCACACAAAGTTTCACCTGCACTGGGACCCAGGGCAAAGCAGTGACTCTGTAACAGCCTGGGCTGGCCAGACCTATCTGAGGGTCTTGGAGGGTCTCCTGGGAATGTGGGGGTCAGATATGGCTCACGGTTGGGGCAAGGATACAGGTGGCAGAGGCCCAAGGGACTATTCATTGGTGTGAGCTCTCCTGGAAGTCACAGTTTTGGTACCAAGATCAGGCCCCACCCAACAGCCCATAGGCTCTGGTGCTGGGACACCTCAGGCCAAACAACCAACAGGGTGAGACAGGGTGAGAACACAGCACCACCTATCAGCAGACAGGCTGCCTAAAGTCATCCTGAGCCCACAGATGCCTCCAAACACATCCTTGACATGGCCCTGCCCACCAGAGGGACAAGACCTAGCTCCACCCACCAGTGGGCAGGCATCAGTCCCTCCCCCCAGGAAACCTGTACAAGCTCCAGGACCAACCTCACTCACCAGGAGGCAGGCACTAGAAGCAAGTGGAAATATGATCTTGCAGAATGGACACCACAAACAAACACAGAAAGACAAAATGAGATGGAAGACAACTATGTTTCAAACTCCAGAAGCACAGCTAAAAAAAGTAGAGATAGGCAATCTGCCTGAAAAAGAATCCAGAGTAATGATAGATCTTGGAAAAAGAATGGAGGCACAGACGGAGAAGATATGTTTAACAAAGAGCTAGATTTAAAGAACAAACAAACAGATATGAACAATACAATAACTGAAATGAAAAAACACACTAGAAGGAATTAATAGAATAAATGAGACAGAAGAATGAATAAGTGAGCTGGAAGACAGATTGGTGGAAATCATGCCATGGAACAGAATAAAGAATGAAAGGAAATGAGGACAATTTAAGAGACCTCTGGGGCAACGTTAAATGCATGAACATTCACATTATAGGGGTCCCAGAAGGAGAAGAGAGAGAGAAAGCCCCTGAGAAGATATTTGGAGAGATAATAGCTGAAAAATTCCCTAACACGAGAAAGGAAACACTCACTCAAGTCAAGGAAGTGCAGAGTCCCATACAGGATAAACCCAAGGAGGAATACGCTGAGACATATATTAATCAAATTGACAAAAATTAAAGACAAAAAATATTGAAAGCAACAATGGAAAAGCAACAAATAACATAAAAGGGAATCCCTATACGGTTATCAGATGATTTTTGAGCAGAAACCTTGCAGGGCAGAAAGGAGTGTCACTATATGTTTAAAGTGATGAAAGGGAAAAATCTACAACCAAGAGTACTCTACCCTGCAAGGCTCTCATTCAGATGTGACAGAGAAATCAAAAGCTTTACAGACAAGCAAAAGCCAAGAGAATTTAGCACCACCAGACCAGCTTTACAATAAATCCTAAAGGAACTTCTCTAGGTGGAAAAGAAAAGGCCGCAACTAAACAAGAAAATTATGAAAGGGAAAGTTCATCAGTAAAGGCAAACATACAGTAAAGGTAAGAAATCATCCACAAAAAAAATATGATATCAAAACTAGCAATCATGAGGAGAGCACAAATGCAGGATATTGGAAATACATTTGAAATTAAGAGACCAGCAACTTAATATTGTACATATACAGACTTAATATTGTACATATATCAAAACCTCATGGTAACTGAACTGAAAATCTATAATAGATACACACACAGAAAAGAAAAAGCAATCCAAACACAACACTAAAGACAGTCATCAAATCACAAGAGAAGAGAACAAAAGAGGAAGGGAAGAAAAAAGAACTACAAAAAGAAATCCAAAACAATTAACAAAATGGCAGTAAGAACATACATATTGATAATGACCTTATATGTAAATGGATTAAGTGCTCCAACCCAAAAAACATAGACTGGCTGAATGGATACAAAAACAAGACCCATATATATGCTGTCTACAAAAGACCCACTTCAGATCTAGGGACACATAGAGACTGAAAGTGAGGGTATGGAAAAAGATATTCCATGCAAATGGAAATCAAAGAAAGCTGGTGTAGCAATACTAATGTCAGACAAAATAGATTTTAAAATAAAGACTGTTACAAGAGACAAAGAAGGACACTACATAATGATCAAGGGATCAATCCAAAGAAGATATTATACTGTAAATATATATGCACCCAGCATAGGAACACCTCAATATATAAGGCAAACACTAACAGCCATAAAAGGAGAAATTGACAGTAACAGAATAATAGTGGGGGACTTTAACACCCCATTTACATCAATGGACAGATCATCCACACAGAAAATCAATAAGGAAACACAGGCCTTAAATGACATATTAGACCAGATGAATTTAATTGATATTTATAGAACATTCCAAAAGAAGCAGAATACACATTCTTCTCAAGTGCACAAAGAAAAATATACATTCTTCTCAAGTGCACAAGGAACATTCTCCAGGATAGATTACATGCCTGGCCACAGAGCAAGCCTCGGTAAATTTAAGGAAATTGAAATGATATCAAACATCTTTTCTGACCACAACACTATGAGGCCACCAACACCCTGATACCAAAACCAGACAAAGATACCATAAAAAAAGAAAATTATAGGCCAATATCATTGATGAACATAGATGCAAAAACCTTCAACAAAATACTAGCAAACTGAATCCAACAATACATTAAAAGATCACACACCATGGCCAAGTGGGATTTATTCCAGGATGCAAGGATTTTTCAATATCTGAAAATCAATCAGTGTGATACACCACATTAACAAATTGAAAAATAGGGCTTCCCTGGTGGTGCAGTTGTTGAGAGTCCGCCTGCCGATGCAGGAAACATGGGTTCGTGACCTGGTCTGGGAAGATCCCACATGCTGTGGAGCGGCTGGGCCTGTGAGCCATGGCTGCTGAGCCTGCGCATCCGGAGCCTGTGCTCCGCAACAGGAGAGGCCACAACACTGAGAGGCGCGTGTACCACAAAACAAAACAAAACAGAAAACAAATTGAAGAATAAAAAACATATGATCATCTCAACTGATGCAGAAAATGCTTTTGTCAAAAATTGAACACCCGTTTATGATAAAAACTCTCCAGAAAGTGGGCATAGAGGGAACCTACCTCAACATAATAAAGTCAATATATGACAAACCCACAGCTAACATCATACTCAATGGTGAAAAGCTGAAAGCATTTCCTTTAAGATCAGGAACAATTTGTATGGAAACACAAAATACCCCCAAATAGCCAAAGCAATCATGAGAAAGAAAAATGTTGCTGGAGGAATTAGGCTCCCTGACTGAAGACTATACTACAAAACTAGAGTCATCAAAACAGTATGGTAATGGGAATTCCCTGGTGGTCCAGCTATTAAGACTTGGCACTGTCACTGACAGGGCCCAGGGTTCAATCCCTGGTTGGGGAATTAAGATCCTGCAAGCTGCGTGGTGTGGCCAAAACAAACAAACAAACCACACACACACACACACAAAAACCCAGTATGCTATTGGCACAAAACCAGAAATATAGCTTAATGGAACAGGATAGAAAGCCCAGAAACAAACTCACACACCCATGGTCAATTAATCTACAACAAAGGAGGCAATAATATACAATGGAGAAAAGACAGTCTCTTCAATAAGTGATGCTGGAAAAACTGGACAGCCACATGTAAAAGAATGTAATTAGAACATTCTCTAAAACCATACACAAAAATAAACTCAAAATGGGTTAAAGACGTAAATGTAAGGCCAGATGCTATAAGCTCTTAGAGGAAAACATAGGCAGAACACTCTTTGACATAAATTCCTGCAATATCTTTTTGGATCCACCTCCACGGGTAATGATAATAAAAACAAAAATATACAAATGGGACCTAGTTAAGCTTAAAAGCTTTTGCACAGCAAAGGAAACCATAAACAAAACAAAAAGACAACCTACAGAATGTGAGAAAATATTTGCAATTGAAGCCACTGAAAGGGATTACTCTCCAAAATATGCAAACAGCTCATGCAGCTCAATATCAGAAAAACAAACAATCCAATCAAAAAATGGGCAGAAGATCTAAATAGACATTTCTCCAAAGAAGACATACAGGAGGCCAAAAAGCACATGAAAAATGTTCAATGTCACTAATTATTAGAGAAATGCAAATCAAAACTACAATGAAGTATCCACTCACACTTGTTAGAATGGACCTCATCAAAGAGTCTACAAACAATAAATGCTGGAGAGGGTGTGGGGAAAAGGGAACCCTCTTGCACTGTTGGTGGGAATGTAAATTGATACAGCCATTATGGAGAACAGTATGGAGGTTCTTTATAAACCTAAAAATAGAACTATCATATGATCTAGCAATCTCATTCTTGGGCATATATCCAGAGAAAACCATAATTCGAAAAGATACATGCACCCCAAATGTTCATTTGAGCACTATTTACAATAGCCAAGATATGGAAGCAATTTCAAAGTCCATAAACTGATGAATGGATAAAGAGAATGTGGTACATATATATACAATGGAATATTACTCAGCCATAAAAAGAATAAAATAATGCCATTTGCAGCAAGATGGATGGACTAAGAGATTATCATACTAAGTGACATAAGTCAGACAGAATGACAAATATCATATGATATCACTTACACGTGGAATCTAAAATAATGATACAAATGAACTTATTTACAAAACAGAAACAGACTCATGGGACTTTCCCCAGTGGCGCAGTGGATGAGAATCTGCCTGTCCA